CAGCCGTGGGGCGGCCCGGGGAGCCCCGTCCCGGCCGCCCGGGCTCGCCCCTGCCCGGCTGAGGACGGGCTCGTCCCCGGTGTCCGACCCGCCTTTGTTCTGAGGCGACCGGCGTGCCCGGGGGCATCCGGTGCGGGGGCAGCGAGACAGCCCCGAGCCCCGAGCGGCCCGGCCGCGGCTCAGGCCCGGCACCGAGACGCCGGGGGGCGGCAGGACCCGGCCCGTCCCGCGGCGCTGGGCTCGGCTCCCCCCGGCTCCGCTGTCATCTCTCGCCCCCCCGCTGCCCGTCGCCCTTTGTGCCGGCGGTCGGTGACCTCCGCGGGGCCTTCTGCAGGCGCTCCCCTTCTTCTACCAGCCTCGCCGAGAAGAGACTCTGCTTGGGGTAAATGCGCAGAAGTTTGGGTGTTTCTCTGTCATGGGGGCTTCTGGTGTCTGTAAGACACAGGCGGGCTCACCCCACCCCCCCATCCCCGCGGAAGGGAAGTGAGGCACCCCCGTTATGCCCCTGAGCTTGGAGCGAGGGAAGCTTGGACAACAAAGCTTCCTCCGATTGTTAGAGTGGGGAATAACTCCTGGAGATGCCTCCCTCCCCGGTGAGGGCTCAGTTCCCAGGCTTGTCTATGGATGAGTGATGATGGGGGTAACAGGGTGTTTTTGGGGGGGCTGGGCATGCAGCTTGCAGACTCCAGTGCCTGCAGCACACACTCCTGCGCGGGATGGGCCAGCAAAGCCCACCAGGGCTCCCGGTGGAGAAGGGGCAGCATCCCCCAAAGCCCTGTGCTGGGAAGGGCCTGAGCAGGGGAAGCGTTGGTCTTAGCAGGATCACCTTGCCTGCTCATCCTGCTCCCAGGGCTTTCTTGAGGCAGGTTCTCTTACTTGTCAGTGTTTACTTGTGCACTTTAAAGGAGGAAAAAAAAAAAAAGGCAGTTTTTAAGAAAATACTCTCCTTCCACTTGACTGTGCTTGGCTGGGACCCTGTTGCCTGCAGACGACTGTCCTTTGCCATGTGCAGCATTTGCTGGAATCTTGTGCGGAGCCTTCCTGGAAGGGGTGGGAGGATGAAAGCGCTCGCTTAGTGAGCAGAGGGGTGAGCCTCCTCCCTTCCGACCCAGAGGTCAGGTCCCGATCTTTGTACTGACGAGCCCTTGAGGCCGTCCCTTCCCTGAAGATGGGCTGGGAGTTGGGGTGGCGAAGCCTAGAGCGTGCAGCTGGCGTCTCTGTCCCTGGGTTGCCTCCCATCTTTTCCCTCCTCCAGCCTCGGGCGCAGAGATAAGACCCTGGTCCATTGTATCTGCATTGGGGGTGGCTTTAGGACACCCAGAAAATAATAGCATGGCTTGGACCATGCCTGGAAGGCTGTTGGCTTCTCAAAATAGCTCACCAGTGTCTGTGACCTTAGGGGAGGGTGCTGGTTGAGTCTCTTGGTTTCTCTTCCCAACAACCCCTCGTAAATGTCTCTCATTTGCTGCTGGCAAGGACAGAGCCCTTTCCCAAGACTGCGGTGGTGCTGTCTCCGGGGAAGTGCAGAGCTCTCCTCCCAGCTCCGCGAGCCCCGCTCCCTGCAGCGTGGCGGCTTCCCTGTGTCCTGCCTTGCCGACAGCGAGGAGTGGCACCGTGGGGCTGCTGTGGGTCCATGGAAGCAGCAGGTGTTACCTGGATTTGGTGACAAAACCCAAACCTGTTGGGTGATTCAGGCAGCTCCTGCTGTGACACTGGGCTTGGCGGTGGAGGAGGCTGTCCTCTGGCACAGAGCGCAGGAATGCATCTCGGCGCGAGGCTGTTGGAAAGGGGCTGGATTTACGGGCTATCGACCAAAGTCCTCGAGTTCCCCAAGGTGGCCGCAACCTTCTCTTTGCTTCTCACCATCCGAGGAGGCTGTTTGAGGGGGGAAACTGTTTCCTGGAGCTGTTTCTTGTACTGGAAACTCCCAGCAGCAGGCTAGTGAGTCTGTCTGGCTCCTGCCTGTCTTGTGCTTGTTGCTAATCTGCCTTCCCCCCTCTCCCGGGCTGGTGGTGGGCACTGCATCACCTGCTGCTGGTTCAGCACAGTCCCTGTGCTCACCCTGTCCGGTGGCTGCAGCACAGAGGGGGTGACCGGTGGGTTAATTTGCTCTGTCATATTTGCAAGTGACTGCACCTTCGGGGTGGCAGGGGTGCCCTGTGGTTCTCCCGCAGTACCGCTCCCCATTTCCCCGGGGATGAAGCAAGAGTTTTCCCCGGGAGGGGAACTGCTTCCTCATGGCCGTGTGACATTGGCCCGGCACAGAGGGTGAGGTGGCCACTGGGTGTGGGGGCATAACCGGTGACTAAGGAGCACAAGCTGCCAGGCGTGGTGCCAGCATGGGCTGGCCCTTAACCCGGACACCCATCACCGCTGCTTCCCTCTGCCCTTTCCATCCCAGAGCAGCTGGAGGTGGGCAGTGGGACACCCACTTTGGGCCGTGGTGGGAATGAACAGTCTCACCTGCCCAGTGGGCAGCCTCTGTCCCAGCTTCCTCTGCCTTTGGGGAGATGACCTTCCCTTCCAAAGGGGGCAGTGATAGGGAGCAGTGAGTGCCTGGGCTTGTCCCCGTGTCCCCAGCCTTGTGCTGCAGAGCTCTTACCCCCTGCAAAAATGCTTGTGCCAGTGTGGGCCTGGAGTCCTCATCCAGGCTGAGAACTTCCCCTGTAAGTTTTATTTTAACAGTGCGTTGCCCAGGTGTTTGTGCTGATGGGAGAGCAGAATTTCTCTTGTGGAACAGAGTCCCGGCCTGTTAGTGTGGCAGAAGATGGGGGTAGCCCTGCGATGGGGAGGATGCTGCTGGGGTGTCGGAGGGTGTACAGGCATCCCGACTCACTGCGGTGCTTTGCAAAACTGTCCTGGTGGGGTGGTTGTCTGGGCTGCGGGAGGGTGGCTTTCCAGCACAAGCAGGGAAGGGTCTGGGCCAGCTGGGTAGGGGGTAAGCCCTCTGTGGCCTGGCTAGGGTGGTGGTGTTGTCCTGGGAGCACATCTTAGATGGGCAGGTGTGAGGGCATCCGCTCGGGATGGCCCTGGGCTGGCTGTGGCAGCAGCAGCACGCCCAGCTCCTGCGTGCGAGGGCAGGGGCTGTTACCGAGCCTCCCTCCCGGCCCCGGCTGCTCCCGTTCCTCTGGGCGTTGGCCCCAATTACAGCGAGCGCTGCTCAAAGTTCACCAGCTTCCTGCTGCCGGCCCCTCCTGGGCACTGGGAAGTGGTGGGAGCCCTACCTGCCCCGGCCATACCTGCCCCGGGAGCTGCTGGCACCGCAGGGTGGGGGCAGCCGGGACGTGGCGGGGGAGCTGCTCTCTCCTCTCGCCTCTTGCAGCTGCTGTAGCTCCTCCGGGGCCTGAGAGCGGTTACCTGGGGCGAGGGGAGCGGGCTCCCTCCTGGGGGTGAGGTGGCCCGGTGTGGGAGTTGGGTAGCCTCACAGTAGATGAGTATGGAGAACCGATTCCCACCCTGGCCAGGAGGAGGAAGGCGTCTCGCTGTCCTCAGCTGACGTGTTTTCCTCTCGCCCCCGTCTCATGTGCTGCTTGGGCTGGTCTTCTCTGAGCAGAGCTCCCAGATCCCCCGGCTGGTTCCGCAGTGGGGCTGCCAGCTCCTCTCCTGGCCCAGCACGGGAGGGAGACGGTGGCGGTGGGCGGCTGCCACGGGTGGGAGGGAGTGTGTGGAACTGCAAAGACGAGTTTTTCCGACCTGGAAGGGTGGGTCACTGGTGGTGTTTGCATGCCGCTGGCAGGCCCCTTGCCCAGTGGAGTAATGCATTCCTGCGAGCGTGTTGCTGCACGCCGTGCTGCCTGCCATGCCTGGTGCGGGCGGGCTCCGGGAGGGAGGTGTCATCCGCCCGCTGCCAGACGGGGTCTGATGGGGAAGAGGGGGACAGCCGGGGGGCCTCCGGGAGAAACCCTCTCTGATGTGGGCAGGCTGCCTGCTCCAGGCTGGATTTGTAGCCCTCCTTCCTCTCTGCTTTTTGTTTTTTTCCCCTCTACTTTTACCTGCGGGAGGGAGCTCCTGGGGCCACCACAGCTCCACTCTGGAGGATGAGGAAACCTGCTCTCCCCTCATCTCTGCTCAGTGTCTCTCCAGCAGCCAGCTTGGGTGGAAAACCACTTCCCTTCTCTCTTCTCCCTCCCTCGGTAGCGAGAGGAGCCACCCTGGGCAGGGTGGGTGGATGGGTCTGGGGAGTGAAGTTGCTGCCACAGTCTCATGCTGTGAAGGGGGCTTGTGGCTTCTCAGGAATATCCCTGTCCTGCCTCCGAGAGCCTTGGGGACACCACAAACCCAGGGGGGCTGTGGGGGGAGGGGGCTGCTTGTGCATGTCTGGCTGGTGGAGTTGTGTGAAGAAGGAGAGGAGGTGTGGGGGGGGGCTGGGGAACAGCCATGCCCCCTTGCCTGCAGCCTGGGCGAGCAGAGGCCATGCTGGAGCAATGGCATAAGTGCCCCTGTGGCTCTGCAGGTGACAAGCCCATCTCTAGCACACGGTGGGCATAGATGTGTCCTCCTGGGGCTGGAAAACAGCATCTTCCACTCTCTGCTTGTAGGATACTCCCAGCCCTGGACAGGAATGTGATACCACCATGGATGAGGAGCCCTCATATGTGTTTCCCAGAGGCAGGAGGCTTCCAACAAGCTGGCTGGGCTCAGGTCTCCTCGGTGGACTGTGCTGACCTGGCTGGGCTGGTGGTGGTGGTGCCCATGCCTGCTGTTCCCGGCCCGGTTTCAGGGCGTCTGCCTGTGGGCTGGGGCAGCAGGGAGCGGCCCTTGGCAGGACGTCGTGTTTAGAAGCTTACGGGAAAGGGAAGTCACGATGTCATCTCCCGTCTGACCAGGAAACGCAGGTTTCCTTCCCTTCAGCTTGTGCAGGAGCCTGGGAAGCTGCTTCTCAGGGGGCAGGTTGAGGGAGCAGTAGCCAGATGTGGCACCAGCAGCAGTTTGGACAGGGGCTGGGGTGGGATGATGCCCCTGCCGTCCCTCTGAGCACGGCCAGCCCCTGGGTGGGCAATACAGGGACTGGGAGCACTGTGGGGGCCATGCTGTGAGGCTGCCATGGCCCATGGCGGTGCAGCAGCCCCCTTCCCTGCCCCCAGCTGTGATTCAGTCCCTGGCTCTTGCCTGATGCTTCTCCAGTGGCTTTTCTTCACCCATTCATTACTGCTCTTGGCAGGGCCCTCCAAGTGCTCTCCAAGCACAGACGCATGCATGCAATTAGCGAGCAGGGCACCTGATGAGGTCATGCTGAATGGCGCTGGGGTTTTCAGTCCAGCCCCTGGGTGCTTTGTGCTGTGACTCAGCCCGGCGGCTGCCCGGCCTGCTCAGGGAGCCCAGGCTGGCTGGGGGAGGGGGCACGGGGGGTCCCATTTCTGGGCCGTTCTCCTGGGCTGCCACTGCGAGGGCGGCTCAGCTCACTCTCGGCAATTCCCTCCTCGCCACTCCCGCAGCAGGCATTGCTTCACTGCTGGCGTGTTTGCTCAGTCTGGGGATGGGAGAGGTGTGGGGCTTGTCTGGCAGAGGGAGGGGTGCCCGGTCTGCCTCTGGGGTGCCCCTGCAGCAGGGAGACCCCCATGTGGCATTGCTGGTGTGAGTGGGTGGTCCCAGGCTGCTGTTTCTCTCCGTGTTCCTGGTTCCTCGGTGACCTGGGTGCTCCCTGCAGGGAAGGAGAGCCTGGTGTGTGGCCCCCACCCTGCCAGTGGTTGGATTCCCACTGTGCTTCCATCCCCTGTGCCTTTCCCTGCTGGTTGGAGCCAAGTAGCCAGAGCTGGGCTGGGCCCTGGGGACCCTCCTGGCTGCAGGTGTCAGGGGAGGAAATGATCTCAAGTGGCTTCCATGGGAAGAGGGATGGGAGCTGTGGCATGGCCGCTGTGACAAGGAAAGGGCCTGAGTCTCTGTGTCTGGGTGCCGGGCTGGCACCGGGCAGTGCTGGCAGGGGCCGGCGGTGGCAGTGAGCTGTGGGTGCTTGTGCCCATGGCCCTGTGGAGGGAGGCTTCCCTTAATCCCACAGGGAATGCTGGCCACTGGCCTGGGGGCAGCCAGCAGCAGATGTGAGCCCTCGAGGAGCTAAATCTGCCCCTGGGACAGGGTGCCAGAGCAGCTTCACCCCATCTGCCATGCCCCCATCCCTGCCCTTGGGCTCGAGGGGCGGGGGG